GTTAAATAAGTGTCTGAGGCCAGATTTGAACTCAGGAAGAATCTTCCTGACTCCAGGCCCAGCACTCTATTCATTACCCTAGAATTAAGATGACCTGAGTTCAAATTCTACATTAGACATTTAATTGTTGTGTGACCTCGTCCAGTGATCTGACGTCTCGGGGCCTCAGTTTCCTCATATGTCTGTAAGGCCCCTTCAAGGCCCTAAACCTGTGGTCTTCTGACCTACCTGTAAGGTGAGTGGTTTGGACTAGCTAGCTTCTGAGGCCCTTCCAGTTCTGTATCTGTGATCCTGTGAATTGAATTAACCAGCTTTTTGGAGTGCCTTCTGAATTCAGAGCACTGTGTTATGTACCACCGAGGGGAGACTGAAGGAACAGAAAGTCCCAGAATCCTCTTGTGAAGGGAGAGAGGTCAAAATTAATTGTGCGGGTGGGAAGGAGTCTCAGCGTTCCAGCCTCTGTCAAAATGCATTGCAATCTGTTCCTCCTATGACCAGTACATCAGCGGGTTTTTACTAAGTGTCTCCTAGCTAAGGACCGTGTGGAACAGAAGAGAAGTCATGGTCCCTGCCCTTGAGGAGTTTACCGTGTGCTTGGGAAGACACACAAAGCATATAACTCATGTGTGGGGGGAGCCTCAAGAGATCAGTTAGTCTTTTAGAGATGAAGAAACTGAAGGCCAAAGAGACCAAGTAATTTGAATGACTAATGAGTAGCAGAGGTGATTAGCTGCTTGTGGGTAGAGCTCTGACTGGAGCACAGGCCTCCTGATTCATAGGCAAGGGCATTTCCAGTGTACTTGCAACGATAACTAACAACATAAGGCATTTCTGTGTTTGGGGTTTTCATGTTTTCTCAGTTTGGTCTGTGTGCTTATATAGTGTGTGATTACATATTTGTACGTATGTGTTTGCTTGGGCCTGTGTGTGCGTGCTTATTGGGCTGTGTTTCTTCAGCTGCTGCAGCATCTGCCATCCAAGTGAGCTCTGATCTCTCCTGACAGGCCCATTTAGGGGAATGGTAGACAAGAGCTACAGGCTGGTGAGGAGGAAATGTGGCTTGGGCAGCAACCTAGATAATTCGGCCTTCCTCAGCTGACTCACTGAGGGAGTGGGTGGGCTTAGAGAACATGGCTTAGAAGACTGCTTTTCATTTAGTAGCCTGAGAGGAGAAGGGTTAGAGAGCATAGGAGGCCTAATGAAGGTCATGGATGGTTTTCTCTGTTTGGGACATTGTGCTAGGGGCCTTTGGGACATAAAGGGTAAAATGACATCCCTCAGTGAATTAACAGTCAGGTTGGGGAGGTTGGGCCCGAAAGGATAATTAAGAATACAAAGTAATATATATTAAGTACAGACAGTGAGTATGGACTAGTACAGTCTGGCCTGAGGAAGGAGCGCCTCCTTACCTTTAGCAAAGATACTCTGGTAAGGCAACCTCCCACAGATTTCCCACAGATCTGAGGTCTGGCTTGGGAAAAATATCCAGTCAGTCTGTGTCAGTCAGTGAACATTTATTAAGCACCTACTATGTGCCAAACATTATGCTTGTGCTGTAGCTCTAGGAAGAGGTCATTGAGAAAGAGAGAGAGAGAGAATATAAACCTCAGATTGGGAGTTTAGCAGACCTAAGTTCTGATCCCATGGTGACCTCTGCAATTCAATTCAGCAAGAATTTATTGAGTGCTTGCTGAATTCAGAAGTCTGGGTTTAGGTCTGTGGCAGATACAAAGTTTAAACAAGGTCCACTTCAGCTTCTTGGGCTCCAATTTCCATATCTATAACACAGAGGTGATAAATATCTATTGCTTTCTATGTCCTTCTCCCTGAAGTGACAGCAGTCATCAAATGAAAGAAGCCCATGTAAGTTCTCTCTTCTTTTCTTCCTTTAGAAAACAATATATGCTGATAAAATGAGATAGTAGTTAGATCTGGCTTATGTAGATGCATGGTATTATTTGAGAAACTGAAAATCATCTGAAATCATCAGGCTTCTCAAAACATAATACGTAAATGGGAAGCCTGGGTTTAATGTGTTGGAAAGAATAGTGAATTAGGAATGCTAGCCATTACTGTATTCTGAAAGGGCCTTGGTGACGTAAGGCAAGCTACTTAATTAACCTTTCTAGGCCTCAATTTCCGTATCTCATCAAAAGCCTCTATTCAGCCCCGATAAAGGTCTGACTGCTGGAAATATTAAGAGATAAGGCATATATCTTTCTATCTTTCTATATCTATATCTATATATGCATATATATAATCTAATAGATATATATTATGAACAATTCTGATATATGCATATATTTCTATCTCTTATCAAACCTTTTTATAAAAATATATAGATGCATGCCTGTCTTTATCTAGCTCTATCAGTTTGTCTGTCTATATCTCTGTATCATATCATATCTATCTGTCTATCTATCTGTCTGTCTATTTCTTGCCCTGGAAGCACGTAGGCTCCAGTTGGGTAGAGACAGAAGATGCACATAGATAGATGAGTATTTAGGCTAAGTGCCAAGTAAATGGTGCAGATGGTGCTGCAGCAGTTCACAAGACAGAGACATCACTGTGTGTTGGAATAGTCAAGGGAGGCTCCATGGAGGAGCTGGAACTTGAATTGGGTTATTAAGGGTAGGCACACCATAGAGAGAAGCAGGAATGACATTATGGGGAGGAGGGAGGAATGAGAAAAACAAAGGCTCAGAGGTGGAATTACTTATGATATATAGATTTTGCTTATTGAACTCTTAGGTCAGTTCATACAGGCCTTCCAGGGCTTCTCTGAGTTGTTATATTTGTCATTTCTTACAGCACAGTACTGTACCATTATATTCATCACATTAAATTATGTCCAAGTCTTAATTTTTGGGAGGGCATGAGGCATGTGGTGGAGGGCTGGTAGTGACAGCAGAGAAGCACATTGCTTTAGTGAAATCAAGGACAAAGAGGGGCTAATGAGAGGAACTTCCCCTCTTTGAGGGGAGTTCAAGTGGGTGATTAGGGGGGTGGCCGAATCCCATGTATGAGAGTCAGAGGGAAGCTATGGCTTGAAGCCCAGCAGGCCCCTTTGGACAGACAGCCTGGCAGGAAACTTATCACGGTCTTTCTTTATCTGGAGTTCCCTCTCGACACATACTCAGTCCAGCTTCAAAAGCTAAGTGTGGCTAAAGGGCCTCTGAATGGGACATATCTATGGGGGCAGGAAGGGTCTGGAGAGAAAAGACTTTCAAGCCAAAAAATCTCTGCAAGCTTGGCAAGAGACACTCCCCCACTCCAGACAAAAACCTTGGCAGTTATGGAAGTATCATCTGGTGAGACTGGATTCCTGTGGAGCAGGGAACATCCTAACCTTTTTAAAAGGGTTTAATATTAATAATCCTTAATATTTGTTGAGCCATTTTATATGCTTCAGGGTGCTTTCCTGTCTGGCATGTTATTCGAGCCTCATAATCTGGAGGTGATTATTTTCCTCCATTGTCTTCAACTTCCTTACCTCTCCAACTGAGTGAGCTCTTACTGCTCCTCTGCCCAGACAGACTCTGCCTCAGTCTAGTCATTCCTCACTTGCCCGGAGGTGATGGGGCTGAGGTGTTAGGACTGCTGGGAGAGTCTCACTGACTTTTCTGATTTATAGAGGATTATGGGGAATGGGTACTATAGTATTCAAATAGCTTTGTGATTTCATCTAATGTGAATAGATCCATACCTGCCATTCAGTGAAATTTTTGTCTGTCTTCTCCCTGGAGTTTGCCACATATCAAGAAAGTCTTCGTGGTCATTCCCCAGAGGTGTTTTGGAAATTTACATTTTATATATATATATAATATATGTATATATATGTATTTATCATTGTCATTTCCAGTATATACCTGTTACTTCTCAGAGAGCCATCCCTTATGATAAAAACATCAAAAAGGAATAAAAAAAAGCCCACTTATCAAAACTAGCCAACACTTTAACCATACCTGACATTACATGCAGTCTTTCACACCCATAGTCCTCCACCTCCCAGAGCTGCTTTTAACCACTTCCTTTGCTGTGCCCTACTTTGAAAATGTATTTGCTCTTTCATTTCCCCCAAGAGAAGTTTGCTGCATTGCAGAAGTCAGTTGCCCATCTGCGTCTATTTCCCTTGTCTCCCACAAAGCCCTGTTCTTCTGTTACTCTTTGTTTTATTTTTCTCCTATCTCTTACTTCTCTCACTTTTCTCTTTCTTTGGTCAAGAAACAGCTGAGGGACAGACAGCTGAGACTTAGGAAAGAGAGAGAGAGAGAGAGAGAGAGAGAGAGAGAGAGAGAGAGAGAGAGAGAGAATATGTGTGTGTGTGTGTGTGTTTGCATGTTTCTGTTGGGGGGTGGGGGAGGAGAAGGACAATGAGGAGATTGCCATTTGAGCCTAAAAAAAATCAGATACCAAAGTCTGGGAACTGTCCTTACACTCATAAAGGTGAAGAAATAGACCATGTGAGCAAATTCCTGCCCGTTGTCATCCTCTTCTGTACCCTCGTTATCATCTCAAATGTCTGGACTTCTCTGCTTCCTGGCTCTCCCTTGTTAGGTCCCACTCAAGAAAGCTGACAGTTTGTGAAGAGATATGGGGCTTCCCTCCCAGTCCCTCTCAATACTTTCTTGCGCAGTACTTAAGATAGACTGGATGGAGCTCTGAGGAGGTGATGGTATGGACCTCACCGAAGAAGCCCCATGGATTGTAATGCCTTTAGGCCTTCTCTCCTGTCTGCCAAAGGAGCTAGTTGGACAAGGGGTGAGCCAGCTGACCTCCATGGAGGGTGACTTCCTTGGGCCAGTATTGGCAACATAAGGCACGTGGGAAACTGATGCACTTTGGGCATGTTTCTTGTGGTTGGGAATTAGGGAGGGGCTTGAGGAGAAAATAAATGCAATGATTTCTCTCTGGTTTTATGGAACAGGATCTGGACCTCAGGGTTTTTGTTTGGTCTTTATTTTTGTTGTAACATTCTCTTTCCCTCTTTCTCTTTCCAGGTCCTACAGAAGTTAGGTAAGGCAGATGAGACTAAAGATGAGCAGTTTGAGCAGTGTGTCCAGAATTTCAACAAACAACTGGTAAGCTCATTTGACCAAGCAATAGGACATCAATGAGCACCTGCTTTGGGCCTAGCCCTATACTAGGTGCTGTGAGGGATAAAAGAGAAGGTACTGTCCCATTATGTCTTCAAGGAGTTTATGGTAGTAGGAGAGGCAAGCTACATGCACATGAAAATATAACTAACTAAAACCAGGCCATGTTGGAAGACAGAGTGGTTTCATGGATAGAGAGCCAACCCCTGAGATAAGATGGCCTGGAGTCAAGTCTGGCCTAGGATACATACCTACTGTTTGTGTGACCCTGCCAAGTCACTTAGTGCCATTAGTAATTCTCTAAGAATTGAAGTTGCAGAAAAGGTATGGACCTGTGTTGGTAGGAGGAGTTTCCTCACTGAGGAGCTCCCAGTAGTAATAAAAGCCACAGGTCCAGACTCCCCTGCCCATCCCCCCTCACTGAGATGAGGCATTAGGCATTATAGCATGAATGTCAAATAAATGATATAAAATGTGGCAGTTCAGTGGATGGAGAGCTGTTCTTGGGCTGGGGCCTTAAACTGAGTCTTGAAGAATGGGTAGGACTTAGATACCCTCTCAAACTCAACACCTTCGAAACTGAATTTGTAGTAGGAATAAAGATGGCATCTGGGTCTGTGATTTCTTTGGCATTGGGAACTCCCAGGTGTGGAAATTCCCATACCAGTGCAAGTCCACACCTTTTTTACAATTTGTGGTGTTCAAGAACTTTTAGGGAGGGCCTAGACTTTCACTCTCCAGACTTTACTGCCAGGCTTCAGCTCTTCCTCCCTCTACCCCTGCGGCCTCTTTCTCCCCCTGGTGATTTCCTCCTGGAACTTCCATTTTCAGGAAGGGCCCAGAACAGCCCTTCTTCATTCTCTGGATTTCATCACCATGCCCCTTAGAGGTTACTTTCTTCTCTAACACTGCCCCCCCCCACTCCAGCTTTTCAGCTCCTGAATGTAAGCTCTTTGAGTGCAGGGACTGTCCCTTTGCTTACAGTTGTATTCCCAGCACTTAACACAGTGTCTAGCATATAATAAGAGCTTAATAATAAATTCTTGTTAACTCGATTTGACTTGCTTTGCCTAGAGCACTAAAGGATAAAGGAACTTGCCCATGGTCTCACAATCAGAATATGTCAGAAGTAGGACTTGAACCCATGTCTACCTGGCTTTGAGGCCAGCTTTCTAGGCTTCCTCTTGAACTTATCACCTTTCCCCTAAAAACTGTCCTTCCTTCCAGCTTCCCTATTTCCATGAATGATATCATCCTCTTCTCTTCCTAGCCTTCCGACTTTGAAACCTCAGAGTCATCTTTGACTCTCTTACCCCTATATCCATTGCCAAGTTCCATGGATTCTGTCTCTGCAGCATCTCTCTCATCTGGCCCCCTTTCTATATTCACATGGCCTCTACTTTATTTCAGGTTTATAAGCATTCTTTTTTTTTTTTGATGAGTTGGGGTTAAGTGACTTTCCCAAGGTCACACAGCTAGTAAGTGTCAAGTGTCTGAGGCTGGATTTGAACTAATGTCCTCCTGACTCCAAGGCCAGAGCTTTATCCACTGCGCCACTTAGCTGCCCTTTCATAAGCATTCTTACATGGGCCTAACTGCTTTTTTGGGCTTTTCCCCTTTTAATCCATCCTTCAGACAGCTGCTAAAAAAAAAATCTTCCTGAAGCACAGGTCCTTCTATATCACACCTTGATTTTACAAACCTCCAGTCGCTTCCTGGTGACTGTAGGATGAAATACAAAATCCTGAATCTGACATTCAAGGACCTCCATGATCTGGTGCAGCCTGTGTTTCCATCTTTATTTTATGCTATTCCCTTCTACACACTTGATATTCCAGCCAAAATGGTCTAACATTTGTTCCCTGATCTTGTTTTGCACCCTCTCTCACTTTTGTGCCTGCACACACCCTTTGTCCTGAATAAACTCTGTCCCCATCTCTGCCTACTGAACTCCTCTTCATCCTTCAAGGACCAGCTCATGTACCACCTCCCCTAGGAAGCCTGCGCTTATTATATCTCAATACCAGTGGAAAAGGACTTCTCCCTCCTCAGATCATATAGTTCTTTGCCCTCATTATAGTCTACCTTGTATAGTATTTGTATAAATGATCTTTCTCCTCTATTACCTTATAAAATCCCCAATGCCAAGCACAGTAGCTTACACATAGTAAAAACAAGGAAGGAAAGAAGAGAGGAAGGAGAGAAAGAAACAAGCATTTATCAAGCATTTATTAAATGCTTACTATTTACCAGGCACTGTGTGAAGCACTGAGGATATATATAAAAGTAAAAAGAAATGGCCCTCACCTTCAGGGAAGGTGGGAGGAGAGCTGGAGGTAGAGGGAGATGAAGGATTTTTTTTTTGAAGTAAAGAAAGGACTCTGGTTTTTACTAGTTTTGATTATTAAAAACAATTAAGCCTACACAGTAATTATTTAAAAAATAATCATCTAGTGTTCCATAATTAAACTGTGCACAGCCTAGTCTTAGTACAAAGAAGCCTGTGAGGTGAGTTTGCAGTCCATTGCAATCAGTCCCAGGAGTAGGGACTCAGACTTCTTTTGGTCTTTTAGTTCTGTTCATCTAATTTGTGTGTGTGTGTGTGTGTGTGTGTGTGTGTGTGTGTGTGTGTGTGTGTGTGTGTGTGTGTGTGTGTGTGTGTATGTGTGTGTGTGTTTGTCCCTGGAAAGGGGACATGGTTTTAAAGCACAAAAGTTAATAGCCAATCTGGGAGGGGAATGAAAGCTGGACAGCTTGGGCCCTTCTGCAAAACAGAGGCCCCAGGAGCTCAACAATGGGAGAAGGGGGCTGGCCTGGTGAAGAGAGAAATTCCAGAGTTAGAAGGTTTCAGGGGTGGTGGGGTGTTCCGAGGCAAGGAGGCCTTGGGGCGCAGGGAAGCTCTAGGAAGAGACAGCAGCCGAGGCATGGTTTTGAAGTCTGAAAGTCAGGAACAGAGCTGGAAGGGGATCACTTAATGAATGATAAATAGAAGCTTAATAAATGCATTTGTTGAATTGAAATAGGTGGCTGGGAAGAGCCAGTTATCAGATGGGCTTTCCTAGAGCTGGGGAAGGGAGGATGAAACTGTATGAACAGAGATGGAGAGGTGAGAAGGCATGAGCAGAAGATGGTGAATGGAGCAGTCTGTTGGGAGGGGAAGGAAAGTAGTGAGAAGTAAAGCTGGATTGGCCTGGATTATGGAGGGTCTTCAAATGCCAGCACCTTAGGAACTTGGATTTTATACTGAGGGGAAAGAACACTGATTCTAGAGCCAGAGGAACTGGGTTTGAATTCTGCCTGTGATACTTACTACCTGTTTGACCTTGGGTAAGTCCTGTGCCTCAGTTTTCTCATGTGGAAAATAAGGATGTTGGATGTCATGGTCTCAGAAGGCCCTTTCAACTGCAGATCTCCATAGGTGTAGATATCTAGATCTATTCAGGTAGAGACCACCTAATCTAATACCCTCATGTATCTATAGAGATGTATTTATAAATCTGTATGTAGATATTGGCATGTATATGTTTTTTCAATTGTGTCTGACTCTTCATTACTCCATTTGGGGTTTTCTTGGCAAAGATACTGGAGTGATTTGCCATTTCCTTCTCATTTTACAGATGAGGAAACTGAGGCAAAAAGAAGTTAAATGACTTTCCCAGGGTCCTACAGTTACTAAGTATCTGAGGCTGGATTTGAACTCAGGTCTTCCTGACTCCAGGCTAGGTACTCTATCCACTGTGCCACCTAGCTGCCCCTAGATACAGATATATAGACACAGATTTGTAATTCTTTGGGCCAGTGGTTCCCAATTTTTTTTGTTCTTCAAATTGCTTTCAACAACAATAACAAATGTGAATTCCCAGGGTCATTTAATATATTACAATATTCTTTGCAGTTATTTACTGCTTAAGGTGACATTAGAGAATTTTTAGCATGAACCTCTAAATGGTGATGACTGCTATAGACAAGGTTTTGGAGCAAGAGAGTGACATGATGAAAGTGGCTTATTTTAGCATGTGGTTAGGACAGACTGGACAGAGGACTAGAGATGGGAGGGAAGCCAGTTGGGAGGTCAGAATGGGAGTGATGAAAACCAGAAATCCAGTGGTGGTAGTGGGATTGGGAAGCAAGAGAATTTAAAAGTGCCATTTAGTGACCAGTTAAATTTGGGAGGTTAGGGACAGAGTGGTGGGAGAGATGAGGTTTGGATGGGGAAGTGATGATGCTATTAATGAAAACAGGGAAGTTGACAGGGGAACATGTTTGGAGGAGATGCTAGACAGGGAAGAGAGCTGAGGACCAAATGTTGAAGAGTGTGCTTAGCTGTGCACCATCAGACATGAGTATGATGACTCAGAGAAAGAAACAGAGAAGGGACAATCAGAAGTAGAAGCAGAATTTGGAGAACGTAGCATCATAGAAGCCAAAGGAACAGTTTTAATGAGGGCTTGGTTAAAGCTGTCAAATGTGAGGTCATGGACTAGGTAGAAATCTCCTAACTCTTAGCCTGAAGCCCTTCCCATGATACCTTGTAACTATGAATTTTGGTGAGGTAAATAACCCTGTTTCATGGCAGGGACTATTCTTAGAAAAATTACAAGAATCCATGTTAAATGTAACATATACTTAAAATAAACTAGACTGTATATTGCAAGGATTACATTGTCATAAACGATCTTTGTTTTCTGTTCTTTGTATAAGGAAATATCTGTTTGTTGTTATTTGTCAGCTTCAGAGTCATTAAAAAAATAATTAAAAAAAAGATTGGGGAAAAAAGAACAACTACATAACCAAGAATCCTGTTTTTAAATTACTCTGGTGCAGTGGTTCTCAAACTTTTTGGTCTTGGAACCCTTTAAGATTCTCTTAAAAATTATCAGGAATCCTCCTCCGAAGAGTTTTTATGTGGGTTATGTCTGTAGGTATTTACTATATTAGAAATTAAAATGTCTTAGTATTATTATGGAGGTAGTTTTGACCTTGCA